GGAAAGAGGCATAAAATAATTCATTTGCATTTAATTGTAATGGTTCAAAGAATGTTCGGAAAAATGTTCGGCCCTCCAGCACGTTCACTTCATCCAATCTGGCCCTCTTTGAAAAAAGTTTGGACACCCCTGGCCAAAGGATTACTGAAAGACAAAGAAACTTACATCCTAGTGAACCCCAATCTAATACAGAAACTAGACAATTGAATCAAAAGAACTCTCAGTGATTTCCAAGAAAGGTCAAACTGCTAAAAAACAGTGGTAGATGAAAAGCCCCATCCCCCAATGCTTTTATGGATGCCCCCAAAACACACAAGCTACATATACCTCTCTGACCAATTGTATCGTTACCAATGCACTAATGATGTTACCTAATTTGATAATGAAACATCTGCAAGAAGTCCACCAAACTCAGAGAACATCAAGGACCCCAAAGTTCAACCCTGAATTATAAATATTCTATTCTACGCTGTCAAGTCTGACTGGGGATAGCTGCCCTAAGGCATCTTCCAGAGCTTACCTGGAATCAGTGGTGAGCATTTTATCCAGGACTTTTTGCAGAAAGAAAACAACTGTACCTACTTTCAAATACTGTACCTATTCTAACATTTTAAAAAAGTTAAAGGGTCAGGATCTAGCAATCTACAGTAAGTCATAGAACAGAATGTAAACACTTAAGAGTCTCTTTGCTTTCTAACATTTTGTCCTATTGCAAAGTAAAATGCAAAATGCAGAAAAACACAATGTTAATGTTGTTCGTCCATCGATTTCGATGAAGACCTTGACATCTTGTGGATTGTGGACCATCAACGGTGTGTCCATAGATGGCTGATTAGACCGATGTTAGCACGGAATGTTCTGCCACATACTGAACAGAGAAATGTGGACACTGTTGCTTCAGCATTGGCAGCTCTGGCTTTACGGAGTGCTCGCTTCTCTTGTGCCAAGATTGTCCTCCTGTGTTCATATGTCTGGCACCCCTGGTAAACCAGGGTACGCCATGTCGGTCGATCATGCGCCAAGAGTTCCCAAGAGATGGTGTCGATATCCAGGGACTTGAGAGATGCTTTCAGCGTGTCTTTGTATCGCTTCTTTTGTCCCCCGT